GCTTTTTCCTCTGAAATTTGAAGAGCCTCCAACATTGAATATTTACATTGACTTCATTAATTCCCTACTTCATTCACATTTCAAGGAAAGAAAAATCTATAATATGCATGAGGAAGGCTTGAGAAATGCTGACTTGAATTTTTCAAATGCACTTTTTTTCTCCTATTCCCCTGCTGATAATAAATATCAGGAACAGTAAGTGCCCTCTTTCCTGCGTTGATGGAAAACTTTTCAGACATTTTATACATGGGCTTAGAGCTTTTTAAGTATTCCCAAGATAGGTCAGGCTGACACAAAGATATTTTTTCCATTTTGTTAGATGAATGCTAAAGTTAAACAAATGTTAAAAGAATATAAACAAACAGAACCTTGAATTTAAAACTCTGAGGTTAAAAGTCACTTTGCTTCTCCTCAGAGGTGCTGCACCACCCATTGAAATCAATTCCAAGAGTGGGGCTATAGAGAACTGTGCTGGCACCAGTTTGCAGTTGTCCACTGGAACGTGAGTAAGAACATAGTAACTTCCCCCGAAACTCCACATGATCACAGAACCACCTCCCCTAACAAAAAATAAAATAAAGACAACATAGCCCTAGTGTAGCCTCCTAGTTGTCATGGTTTAACCTCAGCCAGCAACTGAGCACCACACAGCCGCTCGCTCACTCCCCCGCAGTGGGATGGGGGAGAGAATCGGAAGGGTAAAAGTGCGAAAACTCGTGAGTTGAGATAAAAACAGTTTAATAGGTAAAGCAAAAGCCGCGCACGCAAGCAAAGCAAAACAAGGAATTCATTCACTGCTTCCCATGGGCAGGCAGGGGTTCAGCCATCTCCAGGAAAGCAGGGCTCCGTCACGCGTAACGGTTACTTGGGAAGACAAACGCCATCACTCCAAATGTCCCTCCCTTCCTTCTTCTTCCCCCAGCTTTATATACTGAGCATGACGTCACATGGTATGGAATGTCCCTTTGGCCGGTTTGGGTCAGCTGTCCCGGCTGTGCCCCCTCCCAGCTTCTTGTGCACCTGCAGCCGAGCTCAGTCAGTAGAGCATGGAAAGCTGAAAAGTCCTTGACTAGTGTAAACACTACCTAGCAACAACTAAAACATCGGTGTGTTATCAACATTGTTCTCACCCTAAATCCACAACACAGCACTGTACCAGCCACCAGGAAGGAAATCAACTCTATCCCTGCCGAAACCAGGACATAGTTAAAAATGTCAATCAAGCTGTGACTAACCAATTGCTTCTGTAAATTATTAGCTATTGCTTAAGCAAAATAAATAGGGAGACAATACGAAAGAACAATCCTGTGCCCTTTCCTTTCTGCCTAATCTATAATCCATTAGAGCTGGGTTGATACACTCATTTTATGAAGCACTTTGAGAGCAGAGAGCATAGTGCAAATACCAAGTCTCTCTGGGAATGTAGCACTGTCTTCCTCTGAAAAAAATGCGGTAAGAGTTCAAAACACCATAGTGACCACCTTCTTTTCTTCCCACACACACAATTTGCAATCACTAAATTGCTTGGAAGTGGTTGTAATATGACAGCTCTGCAAAATGTGCTATAGGCCAAAGGATAACCTTTTAAAGACTTTAAAAAAAACAACACACTGAAACTGGAGGATCTGATGGGGATTGCTTAAAACAGAAGGAAGTTATTAATATTATTGCTATTGACAGTGCTGCAAAATGTTTACACAGTAACAAAAAACCCTCAGCCCTTCTCAGTTCATGTAATGTATTTCAGTTTGCCTACTGCATGTCATATATGCCTGACATTGTTAATACTCCCATGAGTAATCAACACAGGGTAGCAGTGATCAGAGACCAGATAAACCTCATCAACCTTTGTGTCTGGATCTTGTTTCATGCATTCAGTCTCTCCAGATTGTTGGTCAAGTCACTAAACTGCTGGTTTTGTATGCCTCAGAAGGGTTTCTCTAACCATCAACAGCCATGCCTTCTGCTTTTCGGTCAAATGTGTGTATATGCATTTATAAGCCTTCTAGCCCCACGGACACACGCTGTGCCCTCTTCTTTCTCAGCCATTTGGGATTTTTATTTTCTTTAGTTTTTGGGTGGCTAAAGGATTCTTCAGCTTACCGGGGCTAGGGCTTGAATGCAGGAGAACAGTCTGCTGCAAGCAACAGCCAGTTTCCTTCTTCAGAAGTAGCAGGTTCCTCTGCATCCTAAAGTCTAGTCCTCAGTTCAGCCAAATTATTCTCTCCAAGGGTTCCTAAGTTCACATTGTTGATGAAGCCTACATGTTCTCAAAACTAAGCTGTCTACTCCAGCTGCTCACAGTGGAGTGTTCCTACACGATAAATCCTTTTATCTGGGGTCTACAACATACATTCCCAGCAAGTCAGGACCAAGACCTGGGTATGGTTGTTCTCCATAAGCAGAAGCAGAGGAAGCGCAGTGTTGATGACAATAGGCATTCCACCCATTCAGTTTCCTTCTTCTGTAACAGCTGCGGGGAAAAGAAACAAACCCCAGATCCTTCCTAGCCTCTGCTTACCAATTCCCATACTCTTTTCAGCGGCTGCAGTTGCTCTGCCCCCGTGTCTCTGGAAATGTCGGACAGCTGACTGGATAGGAAGAATAGGTAGTTTTAAATTTCTTCAGAACATTGCAATACACTCTTATTAGTTTACCTTTCTTAATATAATTTCAATTAATTACTTTGCATACTTTTCTCATTCTGATTCTTTAATGAAAAATTCTTAAAATTGTACAAACTGCTTTTACTTGAGAAGAAAAAGAAGGTGAGAAGTAGAAGATTTCTGCTGTTGGACATCAAACATGCTTGACGTTTCCAAATCCCATATCCAAATTAGCAATGCAGTCAGAAACAACCATTTGATTGCAAAGTCTTTAGATGTTACAACGGGTTTTCATGATAGTTGTCAAAGCAGGACTGGAATCCACTGTTGCTGCAGCAAAGCAGAGTGTTTGATCACACAGTATCAACATGGTAGCATTTTTATCTACAGTACGGACAAGCTAAAGTCCCTTTCTGTATTTCTCTAAGTTAAGCTGTAGCCCAATATCCAAGAGCTTGCTACCACTATTTCATGGTGAACAAGAAACAGTTGGGCCCAGATGCTTTATGTCAGAGCAGAATCTCTTTGGTAAGATCTGTCCGAGTAAGGAGAAGCAATTGAAATAGGCCACATCTCATTTTCTGCTCTTACATTCTTTTTTTTGGTTATGATCCCCAATTCAATTAGGCTTTAAAATTCGGCTATAGCAAGAAAACACAAATAAAGTAAGAAGTGAAGAGTCTCACCAAGGAAAGTCTGTCTTCTCTCACCAGTTCATGGAACCGAGGCATAAAATAAGGAGAAGGAAAGTATTTCTGCGTCCCGTGGTGCATGCACACATCTGAAATAGCAGATGCTCAGCTCCAGGATCTTTGTGTTATCAGCTGCGCTCCTAGGACTTTGCCAAGGAAAAGATGCAGATACTGTGCGTCTTTTTCTGAAGCTGAAGGGGGAAGCATCTGAGCTAGCAAACACGTGAGGGCCTCCACGCAACAATCCATACAGCTGAAAAGGGAGCAGGCAGAATTTCTCTTGGGAGTTAGAGAATACATCCACTTCTCTCTGATTCTCACTGACGCCTTGTAACAGCAGTGAGAAGTGGAAAAGCAGTTGCACACTTCAGTCTCACTTAAAATACTTAGACAGATATTGCTGATTAACCAATGCTGCAACTGGAAGCCCCGGTGTCCCCTCTTCCTCCTGTACGACACAGGACTTGTGTCCTGTACAAACAATAGTGTTTGGGAGGGAAGAAGACACGCTGCCTGTCCAGGAGTGACTCAGTTTCCACACACCTGCATCAGCTGCTCCTTACGGTTTTGGACGGATCCCTTTCCTCTCTGACCCCACCCGCCCTGCCTGAGGGAAACCGCAGGGGTAAGGTGACACCGAAGGCGCCCCAGGAAGGCACCTGCCGTGA